TGTCTCCGACTCAGAATGGTACTATATATATATATATATTTGTTTTAGGGTTTAGGGTTTTCCATCAGTTAGTATCGAATACTCAGCATAGCTTTAATCTCATACTATTCATGTCGTGTCATGTGCTCAAGCCGACTAATTCCATTTTTTTTTTGATTGTTTGAAATAGTTTCTCTCGAAATAGAAAAATAAATCCCTTTGCTTGTATATTTCGCAAATTGTTTAACTGAATCTTATACGTCGTGACGTATTTCTAAGCGGATAAGGGCTATCATTCGTTTCAATTCGGTGTGGTAAGTTTCTTAGTGAAAAAAATAAAAAGCATACTGATTACAAAAATGAAGAACGAACCTTAACCTTGTCATGTTTAAGCTGGATAGTGGTCAAAAGTAGTCTCCCACTTCTTCGAACATATAGATACATGTGCTCATAAACAAAACAAACTGCAATTACAGATACTGGGGTGCGACACCAACTTTGTGTCGGTCAATCGGGTTGAATATTAATTAGAATCATCAGGTAAAGGATAGGAAATCCAACTGGTGTAGTGGTAATTGGAGACGTTTTAGCTCCTTAAAAGCAAACATTCTTCCACAACGGAAATAAACTATTGCGAACAGCCACCTAATAATCCTGCCATGAAGCGCAGAACGATTCAAGTATGTAGCTAGCGTATATATAGCTTGCGTTGGTATATTCAAAAAGCTTTTTCGTACAGGTACAGGTTGGCAAGATGACAGATAAGCGCATATACTGCGTTGTAGAGCAGGCTGACGTTGTGAACGACTTCACGATTTATCACGCATATTCATCCACGGAACAATATAAAAACAGACTAAATTGGTAATTCGTAAGAAACAAGATAAAAGGTAAAAGCTAATTACTATTGTAAATTAAAAATTTACCCATCGGGGAATCGAACCCCGCCCTCAAGCGTGAGAAGCTTATATCCTAGCCGATAGACGAATAGGTAGATTATAAAAATCTAAAAACATACATATATCAACATATTTGTTGATCGGAAAAACGATTCGATTATTTCGCTAGTCTGCTCGATGGCTTGATTAACGAAAAAGTATCTCTATACGTGAACTAGTAATTGCGGTGCCGATAAGGTTAGATAACGGCAAATAATTATATTCCAATAAACGGTTGGATTTCACGTACAGTGGAAAACGGTTATATACAGGATCCACCGAATTTTAAAGCCAAACAACAAGCAAATCGGATATCTTGAGTTATATTATACATCGCCTGTAGGAAACTGTCCAGAACATCCACATCAAGTACTTTAATACGAGTGTGATCAAGTACTGTAATATGAGACAAATGGTCGGTGTTTTATAGCGATTTTTTTATCCAAGGGTAACGCATATTGACCGGTCAACCGCTGCAGATAAGAGATTTATGTACTCAATATCTGTTGAACAGCTACAGACATTATGACCACCTTGCCTTTAAGAAAGCGCTTCCTGGGTCTCTGTGAAAAATGTCTGTCCGTGCATACACCATCATGCACGCCAGTTAGTCCACCAAAAACGATAAGAATGTCCGCAAATTCTTCAGAACTTTATACATGATCTTCTCCAACAAAGCAGCCTGTAGTCCAAGTTGGGGAAGAGCTACAGAACACCGGATTGGTTCAGATTGCTGTCTTGCGCCGTACACGGGTGACGATTGTATATACAAGATAAAAGGATACGATTCCAAGTAAACCATTAGCAACTATACCGTGAGATATTTGAGTGGAGTTGATACAGTGTGATATTGTCGTTTGTAATTCTAACAGAAGTGGCAACCACATGTACTTTAACATTTCACAATTTCTTTTGACAAGGCCCAGTATTGATCATATATTGTAATTTTATCTATTAATCTAACGCGGTGTGTCCGTACTTAAGACCACCCTTTAGTGTGACTTGCAACAAATATCACATATTCTGTCCTGTCAGTGAGACTCACAAGCAACACCTATTATGCACTATTGATTCGAAGTACGACATTGGACAACATAACCCGTGCTTGAAGGGACATCGGAGTGTAGGCAACTCATCCCTTCAAGAAATCTTGCACAAAGTTATACAATATTCTAATAAGCCTTTTATTTAGATATAAACTCTCTATCACGGATCTTTGTTGTGATTAATTGCATCAATATGAGAAATACTCGCGAGACGGACTGCATTTATCTATTCTGAAAAAGTCAACTGCTACCAAGATTACCTACATTTGTAAATCAGCATACGCCCGGGCAGGAAGCTGATAGCGGTAAACACCGGCATACAACTGCTATAAATGCAGGGCCAGTGCGCCAGAAAACACATGTCGGTAATAAGCGGAGAACGAGTGACTCAAATTGGTTGAGATGAACACCCATAATATCGACTATTGCTGAATTAGGATATACAGGTGCACAATTGCAACGATGGCGAGAACAGGAATACTTTTCTGAGCTTTATTGAATCGCGATGACATACACATTTTATGGTTGATCAACATACTCTGAGGAGCACGCCGGGTAAAAGGCTAGCCTAGCATGCGTGGTCATGCACGCACCTGATCGATCCGACTTCACCAACGAAAACGGAAATCGACCATTTCATTGGTTAGGCTATATCAAAATAACAAACGAATTCGAAATAGGCATACCTGTCAATACAAACGTAGTGCTACACACATATACAACCACTATAGATACTTTAATCATATTTATTTATATTCTATTCATTTCATAATGTGCACATGTTTTAACAATTGCATACAACTATACATAGTGTCTTGATAAAGATGCTATGTATTACCTTTCACATACAAGAAAATACAATATCTATTGCAGTTCAGCCTGAAATGATTAAAAGCACGAATAATCATTCATAATATAAATATATAAAATTTACAGATCTCAAAACATGTATGATACAAGCTTATGGGTTTACATGGGTAGCTGCATGTACCACTTTTTGAGTGTTCCGGTATAGATAGTGAACAGATTTCCACATCGTTGTATACTCGCTAGTACGTCTGGTCACTAAAATCGACTGCAGAAATGAAAACAGCACCAAGCAGGTTGGACAGCAATGTGCGCGCATGTTAGTGCGTCGATCTTCTTGCCAGCTTAGAGAGTTTCGACTTTCCACGTATAAGTCTTAATGGAGTAAATAAGGTATTGAGAAGGCCTGACTATGACAAATACCCACTATTGGCGCGACGAGTCACATATACATGTTAACTCACATTAAAAAAATAGCACAGTATTTTAAAGGCAACCCCAAGATTGATACGAGGTCGATCCAGGTTGCGTCTACAGTAGGCTGTCTGTTCAATGGTATTCGGTTCATAAAAGGCGTATCCAATTACCTCTATCGTGTGCGCCCCCAGAGACAGATCTCACTTATCCTCCATGGGTATAAGGGCAGGCTGCATGCACACATAGCTGGCAATCAACTGCAAACGGCGGGTATCAATGTCCACCCGCTCATACAATGGCTTCAGAATGCACGGAAGGGTTTTTACAGCCAAATTGGCAGGATTGGTCCACGGATCTTGTCTTGCTTCGCCTCCGCGGGACAAACTCCATGTGACACCACGATTGAAAACACTACCAGCTAATGAACCATGGAAGCGATATCAGCACAATGGCGCGCACACGATTTGCAACTTCCATAGACGCAATCACCCAACAAATGAACACAACAAATTGACGCAGCGAGCTCCAAAGATATTTAGCGGGCTATAATTCGCAAGTGCTGTTACAAAGCAAACCTTGGATCGTTTGCTGAACAGAACCGAATGCAGGCATGTGTCTCTTTGCTGTGTTGTTTGACTCGCGAGAATTCGCATTCCCATTCAATTGTTGGCCATAAAAAAAAATGCAGATCTCATACTGATCTGAATAGAGTAGGACCCTTTTGATATCGTGTTCGTCAACGCAACGTACCCTTCAGTCTACCCACTTTTCTAGCCTGATATGGTGAGCATGTATGTCACCACTCGCGAAAAATGATATTGCACAGTTCCATCGATCAAAGCATCGTTGCGTGCCGGCTATCTGACATAGAACATTGGGCGGGCATTGCTCGATCTGGAAAAGTGAATGCTTTTCACACCAGCTGGCGAAAAAAACCGCCTGATCGTCGTCGAGTATACCCATATCCAGTGTATTTTCTAACTGTCTATGAAAGCTGCAAAAATAAAGAAAGATAAATTGAGAGACAATAAAAGACTCAAATAAACTGTCTATGAAAGCTGCAAAAAAAAAGAAAGATAAATTAAGAGACAATGAAAGACTCAAATATTCCCATATCCAGAACGATGAAGCACACGAGTACATGCATATAACAGACTTGGGGGGTCTATGCGGTCAGAACGATAAAGGACAATGTGCAAGCATAACTATTCTCAAACTTTACAAAAATCATTGTAGAGAACCCTAGGGGTTAGCGCACATATATTAGACGACTAGTATCAGTGCTACCATTGTGATAAAAGCACATAATACATTTCAAAATCATAAAAAACAAAATAGAACAAGAAAAAGAGATACGCCATGCATGTTGCTACAGTGCCTACCTTGCATGGAACGCAAGTAGAGGCTCAGCTTTGCCTCCGAAAAATCCACCAGCCATGGTAGTCTTGTGTCTCGCAAATTTGGATCGCAAATCAGCACAGTCATTCGCGTCAGGCTCATCAGCTTGCAAGATGAACACCTGATACGGAGACACATACTGTGTTCGGATGGAGCGCATGTTTAATAAATATAAAAAGCAATGGAGGCGGAAAATGCGGCAGGTGACGTAAAGCAATGACTCAAAGTACAGTTTAAATGTGTCCTATCAACTCTGCCGAAATGGATTCTCTTTTATCCAACCACAAACGTCGGACTGGAAAAATATTGTGAATATAATACAAGCTTCAACAAGGCCAGCTTATAGACGGGTAATACTGCAATCCTCACAGAAAGGAATACGTGTCAACTGACTCATCTTTTTATCTAAATGTACAATCGAACAAACTATCATATACTTACTTTTCTCACTTTCTCTGGATCTGGCCAAACATCATCCTCGAAATCTGGCATTCGGCGACCGTGACCATACCCGCCGTCCAGCCAGAAGAAGAACTCGGATGAAAATGGATTGGCAAGTACTGTTTCCTGCACACTCACCAATTCGTTATGTGAAAATATGAGATAAAAACATCAGCCTGCATTTAGATAGCAAATCCAAGCCGGGTAACCGTCGCAGTGGTTTGACGCAAAAGCGCAACAAACACCGTATGTACCTGCAAATAATCTATCTTCTTGTACATCGTCACCCCATAAGCAGCCATCTGCATCTCGGGCCTACCAGGTCGCTTAACGCTCGAGATGTACTCCTCATCGTCTAGGACCTTCTGAATTTTATCGAGCATTTCATACCCCTAAGCAGAAAAAAATAACCGAACAACTAACCATAACTAGGAGATTAACCATTAGCACGTGCATCATTGGTGTGTGGTACTGCAGATACTGACAAGCAGCACAAAGTACTTCAGCAAACAGCACTAGGGCAGGAACGTATTGGACTGTCTGACTTTGGGTATGCATACTAATAGAAACAAAATTCATCAGGTGTCTCAACAGGTGAGCAAAAGTTTTCAACTAACCTGGAGTATATCATCAACGATATGAACCACTGTATTGTGCGCCTCCCTGTGAGACCACACCAGAGGCTCTGTTTCTGGTTCGATATAGATGACTAAACATGTTTTCAATGCTAGAACATCAAGGAACCATGTCTGGTATTTGTCGAAGCCTCGAGATTGAAACTTTTCTTCCATTTGTTCTTCATGTCCTGGTTTGTATTTTCCCTGAGTTAAGTGTAGAAGGAATACTTTTAAGAGTAGAAAATCTCAATATGACTACAGGTATACAAATTCAACGCAATTATAGCATCGCATGCCAACACAGAAATAGACATTCACATACCAGGTCAAATAGAGCAGTAACCAGGGTGACCTCACAGGGGTGTAGATTTAGTTGCGTAGTCGACGGTAGCACTTCCGGTAATTGATCCTTCACGACACAGTGTGTTAGAACCGGACAACGAGAATGAGAAAAAATACTCAGCGCTGGTATATGTCTAGAAGTTTCAGATATTTATGGAGGTCCATGCGACTTCCACGTACGTACAAATGGAAAAATGGCAAAAGATCAACTACTTGTATCAATCGGATGCTTGAACTCCCAATATGTAGAACTGCACGCTATTTGCCTATGGTGTAATCACTTAATCGTATCGCCATTTATGGGTTTATCATGCAAATCCACAAAAATGCTTGCTAGTCAGTGCGAAAGAACCTTCCATACCACTTACCTCGTCATCCAGTATCTCGATCGCTTCCTCCACACTAATTTCGCCCCCTGGAGATCAAATATTTCGCATTTGAGTGTCAGAGACAGCGTTGATCAGACTGCTCATTTCCAAATAAAAGTTTATTGGAATGTACAGCAAATTCGAGGTTCACGCGTACTCAATCAATGTATGGGTACCTATATATATAAACAATTCGAGTGTGAATAGGAAAGCTCATAACTTGAAACACCTTGTCCATTGTTATTTTTCCTGGTTCCATGACGGACAGAGTGCTTCTTTTTTGACAACTTCGGCGAGTTCTCCAATTCGTCGAATTCGGCAAGAGCCAGATAATCTTCGCAAGATTCGGTGGTAGACATTAGTAGAGGGTCTTTGCACAGCGGACCCACACCGGTGAACTGCCATATTGCATACAGATGGAATGAATTGTGGATAACTCTATTTGAATGCAGAACCACAACGCCGCCTGGCGGAGTCGCACGAAAAAATGAGATGTGAATTGTTGCCGATGGCAATATGGATTGGACATATGCCTCTGGAAAGAATGTGAAACTATGCAGATACATAAAGAAAAGCATAAATGTCATACCTGTACCACGTTCAAGGGAGGCCTACAATCCAACAGAAAGTCGAACTGCCACAGTACTAGAAAGGCTATGCACAGCAAGCACATCAGCATAGCAAAGGGGTGCGTATACACGTTCGACATAACGTATTTTTTGACTTTTCTCCGCGTAGCTGCTATCCGCCTGTGAAAAGGCAAAACAATTAAAATCAGGATGGTCAAACTCCAAGAAGGGGACCATAAGGGCGATGATGGTGACTGCGCAAATCATATAATATCATGCTGCTGCATATGTAATTCCAAGTAAGGGAGGCTCAAAGCAGAAGGGTCGTTTCTTAATGAACACCTAACGCAATTCACACGGATATCAGGAAGACCGCGACAATCTATTAGTATGATATGCGAGTCACACTCGGGTTCGATGGAAGGAAACAGGCAGTTGCAGAATACTACTGTGAGATATAAGCATCTCTAGATGTTCGCCTTCAAATGGAATTAGACACAACAACCTGAGCTTCTATAAAACTACCTGAGGCATTCATTAGTAGGTTTCAACCAACGCTTGTAAAGTATGACATGATGGTTAAGTGACAGCCATTGGATACATAATACCTATAGATTGTAGTCACGAAAGCCGATGCAAATATCAGAGAGAGAATCGCGAACCACAGCAAGACCGTTGACAGAAAGTATGCGGTGACGGGTTGTGCGTTCAGATGGTCTGCGGACACAGCCGCGATGTAGAGGCCATTGGAAACTCGATGTACATCGACGGAGCTAACACGCTTGGATGCCCAGCCAGTCCCACCAGTGGGTCCTATTCGTCGGACTGGCTTCTCTTTATAGTGTGTGGCATTGAGAGTGCTTATTTCCACAGCCCATACGGCAGCCGTGCCATGGCCTGTAGAAGCCACACCAAATTTTCAGGCACGAAAATATACTTTGAGAGGTTCTAATAGCCCAAGCGAAGAAGTACATTAACGGTGATTTGCTGAACAAAAGAAGTGCTGCTTTCTGGTCAGAGATGAGCACAGCGAGATACATACAATGATCCCAATGACTTCCCAACATACAGCTTCACATGATATACGCACACTTCGTTTCCAGTATTGAAATAATTGTTGTAACCAAATAAACCCAGAGCTTGACACCGTAACGGTCTTCTGTCATGCTGATATCCTTCACTCATGTAGCAGTGAAATTCAGTACCATACGCATGTGTCCTAAAATTTCTGGATAAATCCAGTCCCAGGGTATTGACAATACCTGCTTCCCGGTGGGCGCTTTCCCTCGCGAATCGGAACAAGACACCATCGAAAGCGACGGGACGACCGCCTGGTCTCCTGTAGATAGGATGTACCAGTGACTCCTGAAGGGGCGATAACGGATGTTCTGCCCATTCGCCTTCGATAATCGATCGACTGGAGTGAAGATGTAGAGAGTTCGTTTTTCGAATCCAAGTGTACATATACCACATACCTACAAACAAAAAGAAAGGTTAGACAATCAAGTGAGATTATTTAAACAATAGTGCAGTGTAGATGATTGAAATAAATGCTGACAAAGACATGAGTATACAGTTTGCATGACAGGGTTGTAGATTTTAATGTCTAACGAATAAAACCTGTATCCAAGTAAAATATTGGGGTCAAACATGTCCGGCTACTGAACCCATAAAATATAGCCCTAGTGCAAAAACACGCCCCTGGGTTTGGGTAACTTAATTGGGATTTCGTTAGCAATGGAAATACACGAGTTATATGAAGGCGAACGACTTCTGGTAGTAGTGAGTCCGTCAAAACATTTCCATATGTGCACATACCACCGAAATGGAATACTGTAGGGTCTGAGTATGCTTTGCCTCGAAGAAGTGTCTTCTGCAAACGCCATTCAGTAGGAGTGTCCTCACTTGCAATATACGCGCGGACTTCAGATATCTCACTGGTGTCGGGTATCATAATCAACTGTCCAGTACGTTTGCTTAGAGAAGGGAAAAAAAACGTAAACATTATTATCGTACTCCGCATTTCCGGGGAGTTAAGCCGCAAATTTACTATCCCATCTGCCACAGACCGGAATTGATAAGTTAATCTCCCTGAAAGCTCGTCTGATCACTCACTGGAAATTAGACAAAAAAATTCGTACCAAAGTCGCACCAGACAAATGAGAGAAAAAACCGCATGTAACAACGATGGACCAATGAATAAGCAGAAACCTTGCTTGAAACCATGTCTTACCCATTTAAATCACGTTCTCTCATCACGTAAGGATAGGATAAATGAAAGGTTTCATTGAGGACTACTTTTTCATACACCCACCGACCACCTCTGTCAGGCGACCACGCCATGGCAATATCGCCCTGACTGCTTTTAAAGTTCATTACCTCCATAAACATTAGCCAATTGTCATCATCACCATCATCTTCACCCCCCTTCGAAATACAAGGTGCGACGCAATGTGAGAACCTTATATTCCATATTACGCGCGCAGGCGCGACCTTCATTCAGCCATCAGCCAATCAATGCGATATGGGCATCTTGTCATTCCAGGAGCAGTATAGTCATGCACATTGAGCTTACCGGTTCACTGGGCAGAATGAATGTATCTAAAATATAGCCAGCAGTTGCGTCTTTCACATTCGCACAGGTAATCGCTGCATTTGTGCCAAACTGAAGGTCTAACGGTGAATTTCCGAATGCTAGCCCTGCAACCCACGCGCCTTCATTGTTCCATCCGCAGGAGTGCTGCGAGTTATTATATACTCGCAAGGTGTGTAGCACGAGTGGGGCTATGGAACAACATGCGAAGAGACATAGAACGTATATACGTGCGTAACTAGCCTTTGCCGGCACAATACTCTCCTCTGTATATAGAAATTGAAAATTCAAATCAGTTGATCGTGAAGCGCGAATCCGACTATCAGCAGCGATTCTCGAAATACTATGATGATATAGGCTGCCATTGCAGGAAATAATCGACGCTGCAATAATCAAGTAAAACCAATACCTGGTAACTGAAGGCTATCATCGCTTGCAATTGGAGACGAATCATCGACAGTTGTAAGATGCCTGACGGACGAGGTATCCGGGTGGATGTACAAGATACTGTTCTGCAGGCTACTAGAACGTCTCCGTAACAGGGTTTGGCCATTACTGCCGCTGTGCTCTTTAATTAAGCGCGAATGGCTTCGCATGACGGCCTTGTTCTCACCATCTTTACCCCAAGAATGTTTCCTACCAAGTGTGGGAATGAAGTTCGACGCACATATGAAGATAATGGGACACAATTGAAGGTTGTTGCATAGTCATATATACACAAATATACAGGCACAACATACAAACACAATATAA